GATGATCTATTGACGGGTGCAAATACTGAGCAAAAGGTATTGCAATTGAAACAGGAAATTTCAGGTATTTTGAGTCAAGGCAAGTTCAAATTGCGAAAATTTAATTCTAATAGTCACAAAGTTAATAATCACACTGAGTTGAAAGATTTAAACTTGATTGAAGCAAAGAATTTAATGTATGCTAATTTAGAAGATCTAGCTAAGGATCCTGATATTTCAAATTATTTTCGTGACAAAGGGGTCATTTGGCACTTCATTCCCGCAAGAAGCCCTCACTTTGGTGGGATTTGGGAAGCTGCGGTTAAACGGGTTAAGTATCATTTAATGAGAACAATTGGTGATGAAAGACTAACCTATGAGACCTTTTCCACAGTTTTGATCCAAATTGAGTCCATCGTAAACTCAAGACCTTTACTTCCTTTATCCTCTGACCCTCAAGATTTAGAATTATTGACTCCAGGACATTTTTTGATTGGCACGGCCTTGTTGGCAGTTCCTGAAGTAGATGTTTCAGAAATTCCTGTTAACCGATTAACAAATTACAAACAACTCCAAAAATTACACCAATCATTTTGGAAAAGGTGGTCATTGGAGTATTTGCATACTCTACAACAAAGGACTAAGTGGAGATTCGACCGAGAAGATCTTGTCAAAGTTGGAAGTATGGTTCTGCTTAAAGATGACAACCTCCCCCCAATGCAGTGGAGAACAGGAAGAATAGAAGAACTCCATCCTGGTCCAGACGGAAAGGTTCGTGTGGTGAAGATCCATACTTCAGGTGGAACTGTGTCTAGAAGTGTACATCGAGTTTGTGTTTTACCAATAGAAGAACAGTAACAGACTTTATATATTATATTTTCTTAAGTTTCTTTATGTGTTATTTTTTTTATCTTTTGAAAGATAACTCTTTCAAGGCGGGAGTTATGTTGCGACTCTCGTTCATATATGTCGTTAGTGAGCGATCGAAGGGACCACGTGTCGAGTTGTTACTCGCGAAAAGGGAACAGTCCGTTACAAGCAGCGATGACGGACGCTTCCAAGCATTATATTTGTGTTAAAGAAAATAAATTAAAACAAAAATAGAAGCTTTTCATTCAACTACATACAGTCCACAACATTTATTATTTTTCGAATGTACGAGAATATTATTTTTGCTGTCGGTGGGCCACCAGTATTCGACCGGCGGGCCGCGGTCTGTGCATCTCTGGTCTAAGCGATACTAGTTTAGTTTAAAATCATAGATTAAATTAGTTAATCCTAACATTATAGGAAATATTAGTTCGGTCTAAAATCTGTTTTGAATACAACTAAAAAAAAATTTATTTAATGAAAATTTCATAGACATCAATGGAAAATGGTGTAACAGGAAAAATAATGTTTAAAAATAACACCAGATCAACTTTATATTTGCAAGTCGTCGAAATTATTCATGGAAATACAAAACCTGTCGCCGAATGGAGTTCTTTCGATGTTGATGAATTGAATTTGTTACGAAGTGAAAGCGATATGCATCAACAGATGTCGACGTTTTTACAAAATACGACCTTTATCGTGTCTTCGCGAATCGGACGTCCTTATTTAATGTACAGGGAACCACAATATCCGGGGGAAGTTCTCGAAGGAAATTCGAAATTCGAAGGATTTTCTTTGGATATAATCGATGAGATTGCCAAGAAAATGAATATTAGTTACAAATTTGTTTTGGCAGCCGATAAATTGTATGGGAATTATAACCCCGTTACAAAATCGTGGAATGGACTCATCAAAGATTTACTTGACAGAGTAAAAAAATATTTTTGATTTTGATTACGTTGTATTTAATTTTTTATTGTAGAGAGCTCATTTGGCAATTTGCGATCTTACAATAACTCATCAAAGAAGATCCGCCGTCGATTTTAGCTTACCATTTATGACATTAGGAGTTAGTATACTTTATAGTAAATCAAAACCTACCGATAGAGATATTTTTGCGTTTATGAACCCTTTCGATTCGATCGTTTGGATGTATATTGTGACCGCATATATTAGTTTCACTCTTATTTTATATTTTATTGCAAGGTAATTATTTAGCGAAATAAAATAATTAATAATAAATAATTTAAAATTATCAGAATGGCACCCGGAGATTGGGAAAATCCAAACCCCAACGATCTAAATCCAGAAGAATTAGAAAACATTTGGGATTTAAAAAATTGTTTTTGGTTTTCTTTAGGTTCGACAATGTCTCAAGGATGTGATCTCCTCCCAAAGTAACTTAATTATTAAATTAATTAATTTAATAATTTTTTATCTAAATCTTCTTCAGAGGAATATCATCAAGAATGGCTTCTTCAATGTGGTGGTTCTTTATTTTAATTATTTCAAGTTCTTACACAGCAAATTTAGCGGCTTTTTTAACGATGGTTCAAATGGGGCCGTCTATAGATAACGCCGAAGCACTTTCAAAACAAACCAAAATTAAATACGGAACCGTCGAAGGTGGGGCAACTCAAGCATTTTTTAGAGAATCAAATTTTTCAACGTACCAACGCATGTGGATGCAAATGTTTCAAGCAAAACCGAGTGTTTTCGAGAAAAGCAATGACGACGGGGTCAAAAGAGTTAAAACGACTAAAAACGGTTTGTACGCATTCCTTATGGAGAGTTCTTCAATTGAATACGTTGTCGAAAGAGATTGTGAATTAAAACAAGTAGGGGGAAGATTGGATTCGAAAGGATATGGAATTGCAATGCCGATGAGTTGGGTTTTATGAATGAATTAAAGAAATAATTTACATATTTTTTTTTTTAATTCAGATTCTCCATATCGACATGATATTAATACAGCTGTGCTTAAGTTGCAAGAAGAAGGTGTTTTAAGCCGATTAAAAACTAAATGGTGGAAAGAAATGCATGGTGGAGGAGCCTGTGACGTAATTTTTAATTTTTATCATTTTTCTTATTTAATTTTTATTAAAATTAATTTAATTTAGGACGTTGATAGCGGGGCTAGTTCTAGCAACGAATTAGGTCTTGCTAATACTGGCGGAGTATTTCTCGTTTTAGGAATTGGAGTTGCGATTGCATTTTTGATTTCGCTAATGGAGTTTTTTTGGAATATCAGAACAACAGCTTTAGAAGAACATGTAAGTATACAGTGTGTCCCCGGATAGGTGAAACGACTCTTATAAAAGGTAAATTTTTTTCGATATTAATTGTCATTTTTTGGGGTTTAGCCCTGCTTGATTAAAGACTAATTTTAAACATATTTTCAATTTTTTAAAAGCAAGTGAGCCTTGACAGTGAAAGAAAAACTTTTTTTGTGGCAGGTAAAGTACCTTTTCTGTTTACAGCACGTGAAAGTATTACTAAGAAGTTTTATTCAGATTGAAAAACTATGGCCATATGCAAATTTTCGGATTGATCGGCCTACTTTGAAAAATCCATATCATACAATTTTATTTTTAACAAAGACTGCCATGGAAAAACAAAATTGCTTTCTTGTCACTGTTAATCTGTCAAACTGTAATTTTGTAAATTTAAAGTGTTTTTCAAATACATGTTAACATTAGAGGAAAAAGTTTACGTGATTCAGTGTTATGGAACCGGGGAAAACCCGATAAATGTGGTTATTGCTTTATTTAGTGAAAAATTTCCAAATACTGGAATTAAAAGAAGTACTTGTTGGCGTTTAATCAAAAGATTTCTTACAGCAGGAAGTATTCACTCTAAGAAAAAAAAATTATGATGAAACTGATTAACTATGATTAACTGTTTTCCTTTGTGGGCGAACACACACTTAATTTCTTGTGAACATTTTCAGAACGGTTTGTTTATTTCTCCCTAATAATCTGAATCTCAAAACAAAAAGTCGTAATAAGGTACTATTGACGAAAATAATAAACAATAGGTTTTATCAAAGTAGGCTGATGAAAATTTGCATATGGCCATAACTTTTCATTCTGAATAAAATTTCTGAGTAACATTTTACCATACTGTAAACAGAAAAGGTACTTTACCTGATACACAAGAAGTTTTCGCTTCAGTTTCAACAGTCACTTGTTTTTAAAAATTTGAAAATATGTTCAAAATTAGTCTTTAACCAAGCAGGGCTGAACCCCAAAAGATAACAATTAATATCAAAAAAAATTTACATTTTATACGAGTCGTTTCACCTATCCGGGGACACACTGTATATAATTTAATTTTGATATTCAATCGTGTCATATTTTTTAGAAAGGATTGGGTGAAGTTTTTTTGGTTGAGTTGCGATTTGCAGTGAGCTTTTGGATTGTAAAGAAACGTGTCAATGTTTTCTCATCGAAAACATCCACTTTGAATGTTTCTTCAAATGAAAATGGTAACAATGAAAATGGAAATTCTGAAGATACTTTAGCTGATGTTAGTGGAATTGTTAAAGTAGATTAAACGGAGTTGTAAATAAAAATAAAGATTTATTTATGAACCTTTCATTTTATTATTTATTTATATACAGGGTGTATCAGGTATGAGTAGAAAAACTTTGAGGGGTTATAGGTCCCCTTTTTGTGAATAAAAAGTTCTTATAACACAATGTCCTATTCTACGCCATTCTTAAGATATGACACGATAAAGTTAAGGGTTTGAAAGTTTAAGTACTGCTGTATAAAGAATAATACTAGGCAGGCTTTGCTTATGTATATACCTTTAATTTGACACATAAAAGTCATTTTTGAGATATTCTTTTAGAGGATGTTTACTTTATACGAATAAATTTATCACTAATTAATTATCTTTAATGAGAAAATTTACAAAAATTTAGGTTTTAATAAATAATCTTGCTAATTGTATTAAAAACAACAAAATTACAAAACTAGAAACAAATTACAAAGCAAAGCCTGCTTAGTATAATTCATTAACCAGTGGTACTCAAACTTGTGAACCCTTAACTTTATCGCATCATGTTTTAAGAAGGACAAAGAATGGGATATTGTGTTATACACCCCTCAATTTTTTTCTACTCATACCTGATTCACCCTGTATACACTAAACTGACCGGCAGAAAAACCGGCCACTATAAATTAGCCAAAACTCGCGAACCTCGAATTCGATTTTGATGATTCTTTTTTTGATCGAATTTTCATTCAGCTTTTAATTTGAGCATATACGGCGTGCAAGAATGAGAAAAGCATTTTTTCTCGAAATTTGTAATACTCTCTGGGGTGCAGTTGCTACAGCAGATGGTGTTAAGTGAAATCAAACGGTAGCCCAATCTTGTCTGAACATTTTGTTTTTTTATTCACTCTATTATCTCTGAAAACAAGACAAACAAGCATAAAAAAATTTCGAATAGTAAATTGACAGTTGTTAAAGATTTTCACAGTCTTTTAACATAATAGCAATCTCATTGTAATAACTGCTGTAGCAGCTATACTCTGCTGTAGCAGTTGCACACCACAGGGTATTACAAATTTCGAGAAAAAAATGTTTTCTCATTCTTGCACCCCGTATATGCTCAAATTAATATCCGAATAAAAATTTCTATCGCAGGATTATTACAGAAGAATCAACCTTTCGATCAAAAAAAGAATCATCAAAATCGAATGAGTNTCACAAAAAAGTAGCTCAGGTTCGCGAAAGCCGCAACTTTCTACCTTTCATAATAACTGAGATACCCTGCAAACCCATCGAAATTTGGACACCCTGTACATAGCTTTAATTTGACACATAAAAGTCATTTTTGAGATATTCTTTTAGAGGATGTTTACTTTTTACGAATAAATTTATCTTTAATGTGAAAAATTTACAAAAATTTAGGTTTTAATAAATAATCTTGCTTATTGTATTAAAAACAACAAAATTACAAAACTAAAAACAAATTACAAAGCAAAGCCTGCTTAGTATAATTCATTAACCAGTAGTACTCAAACGTGTGAACCCTTAACTTTATCGTATCATGTCTTAAGAAGGACAAAGAATTTGTTATAAGAATTTTTTATTCAGAAAGAGAAGACCTATAACCCCTCAATTTTTTTCTACTCATACCTGATACACCCTGTATACACTAAACTGACCGGCAAAAAAAACCGAGCACTATCAATTAATCAAAACTACAAAGTTGACACCCTCTGCTGTGGCAGCTGCACATCACAGGCTATTACAAATTTCGAGAAAAAAAGGTTTTCTCATTCTTGCACCCCGTATATGCTCAAATTAATATCTGAATAAAAATTTCTATCGCAGGATTATTACAGAAGAATCAACCTTTCGATCAAAAAAGGAATCATCAAAATCGAATGAGTGGTTATGTTTT